CCCCCCCCCTGCCCACTAACCTTTTCTGTTTCAGAGACCACCAGGATCAAGAAACGAAGACAACGACACACAAACACACACATACACACCCTCCCATACCCTCCTTACCCCTTACCACCCGCGCTAGACTAAGGGCCACCTTAGCAAAGCGCATCCCAGGCTGCATAGCCGCACTACCCTACCCAACCATACCACACATAAACATGACACCACCCCTGGGGGTTTACACAGACGAGCCGGCGAAGCAAGAAGAGCGCCAGAAGAAAGGGCCCTAGCCGGCGGGGCTCAGCCAGGACAAAAGGAGGTCCCACAAAGCGCCTACACCGGCCGCATTTGCGGTCGGGGTAGACGACGGATGGGGCCCACCTACGAAGGCTGTCCAGGCCTACACGAGATGAGGCAGGATAAAGAGGGATAATCCCCCTCGATCCCAAATCATTGAGGCCAATTCCTAGCCATGGAATAATGGCGCGTAATCAGTCCAAGACGACTAGAATGTAAAAATTGAAAAAATGTATTTATCCCACCTTTTTGATAAATTATAAAGCTGAAATTGTATGTGTATCGGAATCATAGAAAGGACTGTGTATTTGACTTTATACTTATTATAGAAACATAGTGCTAATGTGTAAACCTTTACAATCGGCATATCGTTGTGCCTTCAAAATGCAACATGTGTATTTTATTAAATTGTTCAGTGGACTTAAAAAACTATTTCTTGGCCTTTTTTCTTAAGAATTACATTTTTTTTTTAAATTTTTATGATTGACAGTCGCAATTCTGTAGAAAATAAGATAGCACTTTTTAACCAAATTATGCGATTTGATTCGTTTATCGAATTCTGTACTTAACGGGTTTTGCTAGAAATATGCACGTCACATTTTGAAGGCGCAACGACAATATGTTTTATTATCAAAATATTCTACCAATTATATTTTTTTCGCCTAGAAAAAAATTGGAAAGATTATAATTTTAAGAAATTTTCTTGCCATTACAAAGGAATGTATAAAAAACTTTAAAGTTGTATTTTGGAGATAGAAACAATATTTCCATAGTTTAAACATTTAATTATTTGTTTATATATCCTAAAATTTTGGCCTTGGCATTTTTTTCTAGATAAAAAGCAAAAAAATAAAGGGATTAGAATAAAATGCTTTTTCTAAAATTTGTAGAACAATGGACCTTGACTAGGACACACTATATTAGTAGCAGAGCATACTGCAGACTATTGTTTCATTGAATGAAATTGTAAATTTTAATGAAAATGCAGATGCACTTTTATACTTTTTACATAGATAAAAATTCACTATCTCTCATGCACACCAAGGATAATAAATACCACATAAAATTTGATTTTTTTTCTGTGAATATAATTTTCTCATTAGGTAAAAATAAATAAAAAATAGATTTTACTTACTTTCACTTTTTTGCTTCTCAATTTCAGTATCTTCAGGAGTGCAAACTGAAATATTAGCAAGAAATTCTCTTCTTAGCTTTGCACGTTTTTTCTCAGCTCCTGAAGGTTCTTTCTTTCCTGGGGGTTTCACTGTTGAGCTACTAGTATGTTCAGGATTATCCTGAAAAGCACATATAAATTAATTTTAGGAAGAAAAAAAATATGATCTTTCTTCATTAGTAAACTAAACATATTTTATGTTTAGTTGTTTATCTTTCACTTTCGGATTTAACACATTACAATAATACGAACAATATAGTTAAATAATGAAAAATCAACTTCATCCCGTGTATCTCTTATTGGCAGCATTCGATTCATTTATATGAATAATAGTAAACTTCCAAAACTATCAATCAACCTTGACTGATATTTAAATCATTACGTCATTAACAGTGATTATCAATATGTTATTTATATTGGTCATATATAATAATAAAGGGTGTTTCGCATAAGAACCGATACAGAACAGGGGCACGTAGGAGAACCCTATAAAAAGGACCCTGGTTCAATTTTTTATGTCACTTTAAGTGACTGCGCAGAGACCACATGCCAGTAGGGGAACCTAAAAAGCTGGTGGCTAAGCTGGGCTTGTTGGTGGACTAGGGGCTGAGCTTGCTATTGCGCATAGACCACGCCTTTCTTTAATGGATTTTTAGACAGATAGATAGATAGACAGACAGATAGATAGATAGATAGATAGATAGATAGATAGATAGATAGATAGATAGATAGTGTATATTTGACCATTTTACATATTGTCATACATTTATGGAAAGTAAAATATTTACTTCTAATACAACAACAATAATAGTATAAAAACAACAATACAATATTATCAACATTAACTACTCACAAACATACCCTACAGCACATACACATACATATCCTACTCATAATGAGTATTATTAAAAGCCTGTACTGAATAAAAACAGTATTTAAGTAAAAATCTAATTTCAGCTTTGAAACAAGTTAAATTTAATTGTGTAACAGACAGTGGCAACCTATTGTAAAGCCCCACTTCCAGTGAATTACATTTTGATTTTTTAAGTCGGTAGCAGTCCACTCTAATTGTATTACAGCCTCTTGTGTTATACTTATGTATATCTGACTGATGATGAAAGTTGTTAATATGTTTATGTATTTCAATAAGTGTAAAATAAATATATAGGCAAGGCAAAGGTAAAATGCCTAAAGCAATGAAGTACTGTTGGCAATGCTGTCTGCTACTTAAATTGGCTATCACCCTAATTACTTTTTTTTTATGCAGAAGATTTTGTGTGACTGACTAGAATTTCCCCTCAATGCGAGGGGGGGGGAGGAGTCCACAAACGAGGGCGAGTTAATTTACTGTTTTTTTATACTGTTTTATGGTGATTTAACGCAACTTACCTTTATACTAAGCTGCACCCCTGAAAGTGGGGTTCAAGTTTTGAAAAAAATCAATATCTCAGTTATACTTGAACTTAGAAAAACCAAATTCGACAAGTAAGTATAGTTCAATTGAAGCAGTTTAAAGAGTTGATAAGGGATAATGCACCATTTAAATGTGACAGAAATTTTTAACCTGTTGGCGGACCTAAAAATTATTACTTTTAATTTAATTCTGAAACTTTTCTTACTCTTGTTAGTTTTCGAAATATCGTTTTCAACAGAAACACGAATAACCAATAATATGTATTGTAGCTGTTATTTAAAATCATCGAAAATTTAAAAGTTGGTTATGAATTTAAACGTCAAAGTTGACGATCAGGAAAAAAGTTATTTAATTTAATTTAAGTGTTAGGTTTATGTGAAAGAAACTACAGAAGAAGTGTTGAAGAATATCGGAGAAGATTTTCAAATCATATAAAGACCTAACTCTGTAACCCAAAAATGGTCAAAACCGATAAAATCGTTTTCAAAATATTCAGAATAAACAAATATTTTTATCGGATTTTGGCGTCCTCTAGCGGCTAAATGGAGTAACTTTGGTAATAGGTAAATTGGTCTCAATCTACTTATTTTGAGTCAAAGAGTATGTGAGTTTCCATTGTACACGTAATTTCCGGACACCCTGTATCTCCTGGTTTTGTCTTTAATTTTTTTTTAAACCTATTAGGTATCTGGAATAAGTTTGTTTTGTTTAATTATTCTATTTCACTGTTGAAAATTAATAAATAACAAATGTTTCTTTAATCGGATTTTTTACTTATATTTGTTACTTGAAATATGTTCCAAAGAAAATTTATTTCTGTTTTTTTTATACACAAAAAACTTATTTAACAGTAAATACATACATAAATACATATTTACTTACCCATATAATTTAAAAAAAAAACTAATTTTCCACTACTTGTGATTTTCACTTTTTGTCTTTTTAAATCTGGCACCGACTATTTTGGAAAATGATTAAGTGAATTTATTTTCAAACGTTATTTCTAAGACAAAAAATGAGTTAAAAAATTGGCATTTTCAAGATTTTACTTTTTAAATGTAAAATATGCTTATTACATAGTTGAATAAATTTATAATTCTAAAAGTATTCATTTAAAAAAAAATGTATTAAAATTTTTTCCAAATGCATCAACAGAACAAAACAGAAATTTAAATTTTCTGTGTGAGCTATGCCTTTTGCTATTTAAAAAAATATATACATATACAGAAATATTTTCAAAGATATTTGAAAACCATAATTTTTAAAACTATTTTGAATTCTACCAGGGAGTTTGGTATGTGCAATTCAGGATACTTTGATTCAAAATTAAGTAAGCTTTGCTTCATGGAATAAATTTTAACATTCCCATCATTAATTTAAGTTATGGAAGTTTTGTTTCTCATGGTTCCTTACCTTCTCTAAACTGGTAGCATCTTGAATAGTATTACGAGAAGGGACTTCTTGATTAGCCAATGAGAAATTTACATTGGATTCTGATTTACAAGTAACTGCCTGACAATTATCTGTAGGTCTGCAAAATTCCACTTCAGTACTTGAACCTGCTTGCTGAAAACTACTACTACTTATAGTTGAGACTTCAGGAAGAACATTTTTCCTCTTCTCACTTTTGCCATCTATGACATTTGTAAGAATTTTGTCATTTTTGTCTACATTTGTAACATTAGACGATGCCTCATTCTGGAAAGATTTTTTTATTGGTGTACCGAGACTGGGCATGCTAGGTAACATGGTATTCAGTGAAGTCTTCAACAAAAAATTATTTATACAATTGCTTTCTTCCACATACGGAAATTCTGTAAAGTCACTGTGAAATGTAAATAATCGGTTTATTATTGATGGTCGACTTAAACATTCCACAAATTTAGATATGGGATCTATAATTTTGTAACGGACCTTTTTCACCTTTGGACATAACTTTCTTCTCTTACGTGGTAGAAATGTTTTTCGCCGATTTGGAAAAATAGGTGTAGAAGTAACAAGTTTCTGTGACAATACCGACTTTTCTAAATTTACAGTTATTGGTGTAATTATTGTACTGAGAGGTTGCAATACTCCTATATTTAATGTTGCTGGTATTACTTCTGTTGTTGGATTTACTTGTGTCGCCGATAACTGAGGAGCAGTTGATATTTGTGCCGAAGTAGCTGAAGTAACATTCTGAAAAATAAAAATATAAAAATAAAGACCATAACCAATTTTGTATAATACTGTAGTAAGGTAAGCACACCAGACAAAAAATAAAAATTTACTATTATTTTCTCTGTATTTTATAGTTTTAGTATTACTTAATACGTAAGTTGTAACTAAACTTTAAATTAAACCAGACGAATATACTTGAATCGTTTTGAAACAAAAACATCGTTTTAAAAAGTAGTGGGAATTTACAAAAATTCACCTAGGGTACTCGGATTACTGACTATTCATGCTGTTATTATGGTTTGATTGATTTTAGAGACAATCAATCAAATCAAATCAAAGAATCAAAATGTCAAGTGTGCCTGTGTTCTACAAATCTTACTTTTGTTTTATTACTTATAGCTGTTTTACATTGACAATTTATTGATGAATAAATTGACGAAGTTCTTCATGAATCAATTCACGAATTTATTGATAAACATAAACGGTGTGGTTTTACACTGCTAAAAGTGCTAAAAACTTTGTCAAGTTTTTTGACGCTTGAATCAGTTCTACCAACTAATCAAAGAAGCAAATAAATTTCAAAAAGGTCACCTTTCCACTCATAATTGTAGTGATACAACATCGGTACCGTTTTGACACATATTATATAAATATTAGTGTTTGTAAGTAACAAATCAGTAAAAACAATGCAAAACTAGTTTGACGCCACACAATTATTTACATATTCCACTAACATAACCACATTACTGATCTTGCGCCATTATTCCATGGCTAGAAATTGGCCTCAATAATTTGGGATCGAGGGGGATTATCCCTCTTTATCCTGCCTCATCTCGTGTAGGCCTGGACAGCCTTCGTAGGTGGGCCCCATCCGTCGTCTACCCCGACCGCAAATGCGGCCGGTGTAGGCGCTTTGTGGGACCTCCTTTTGTCCTGGCTGGGCCCCGCCGGCTAGGGCCCTTTCTTCTGGCGCTCTTCTTGCTTCGCCGGCTCGTCTGTGTAAACCCCGGGGGTAGTGTCATGTTTATGTGTGGTATGGTTGGGTAGGGTAGTGCGGCTATGCAGCCTGGGATGCGCTTTGCTAAGGTGGCCCTTAGGCTAGCGCGGGAGGG